TCAACCAGGGAGAATTTTGCTCCCCTGGCTCCTTCCCATGGGACATTTGTCAATGTCTGGAGACAATTCTGACTGTCATAAATGGAAGGGAGGAGCTACTGGCATCTAATGGGTAGAGGCCAGGGATGTTGATAAACATCCTACAATGCACATGGCAGTCCTCACAACAAAGAATTATTTGATCCAAAATATCAGTCATGCCAAGGTTGAGAAATCCTAATTATAGAGAAATTTGGAAGCTTGATGAAATTGAGAAGCAATGAACAGGTTAGAGTAGATTTATCATGGAAAACACTTATCTATTTCTTTTCTTTTTTTTTTAAGATTTTATTTATTCATTTATTTTTAAACTTTATTTTATTATGTTTTGTTAGTCACCATACATTACATCATTAGTTTTTGATGTAGTGTTCCATGATTCATTGTTTGCGTATAACACCCAGTGCTCCATTCAATACGTGCCCTCTTTAATATCCATCACCAGGCTAACCCATCCCCCCAACCCTCCTCCCCTCTAGAACCCTCAGTTTGTTTCTCAGAGTCCATAGTCTCTCATGGTTTGTCTCCCCCTCCGATTTTGCCCCCTTCATTTTTCCCTTCCTACTATCTTCTTTTTTTTTTTAACATATAATGTATTATTTGTTTCAGAGGTAGAGGTCTGTGATTCATCAGTCTTACACAATTCACAGCACTCACCATAGCTCACCCAATGTCTATCACTCAGCCACCCCATCCCTCTCACCCCTACAACTCCAGCAACCCTCAGTTTGTTTCCTGAGATTAACAGTGGAATATTATGCAGCCATCAAAAAAACGAAATCTTGCCATTTGCAACGACATGGATGGAACTAGAGGGTATTATGCTGAGCGAAATAAGTCAATCAGAGAAAGACAAGTATCATATGATCTCACTGATATGAGGAATTCTTAATCTCAGGAAACACTTATCTATTTCTAACTATGTCACCTAGGACAGCCCAAAGGATACTTCCTTCTCCAAGGCATTAAGGAATACATTGCTGGGAGCACAGGATATTTGGTAAAGCTCTGCACTGGCTGTCTTCTGACAACTGGCAATGACAAAGGGAGAGATTGTCACTGAGAGGGGTTCTCTAATATCAGTGTGGATGATGGGATCTTATAGTGCAGATGCTACTTGACAGCCAGAGAGGGGCAGCAGGACTGGGGCAATAATCGGGGATCTGTGACTAGTGACTAGTGACTACAACTGATCATCGTGTCTAGGACTGAAATTGATGGGCAGCCTACTAAAATATTACTCATTTTGTAGACACCAAAAATTCGAGGTACTGTAAACAGAGCTGAGATTAAGGCCCCAGTTTTTCCAGCCTTTCACTGAATTCTCACACTGGAGCCAGGTTCCCTTGAGGAAGGAACCAAAGACACTGCCACATGTTTATACAGTAGATCCTCTTTCTAGGCTTCCCAAAAGAACTTGCATCCATTTACCAAGGGACTATGTATAGGGGAAAGGGGACATACTAATATTTTTGAGGATTCTTGAGCATTGGCCCTGAACTGACACTCAAACACCTAATGGTCCAATGTTACTAGTCGCTCATCAGAGTGGAGGTTCACCGAGCCCAGTTGTAACTCCCTTCCCTAACAGGAGAGCCAACTAAATGTTACCCTATTCCCAGGACAACTTCAGTGACTATTCACTTGCAAGGTGCACGGATGGTGATTCCTAACACAGTGCCATTAACTCACCTAACTGAATGTATGAATGAGTTTTTCACATTGATGGTGAAATATCAAAAATCCAATCAGGTGGTGACTGCAATTGTAGCTACTATTCTCTAGGCAAAGTCCTGGAGAAGGTGAAAGAATTCCCAGGAGAGGAATTGAACCTGTAACCAAGCAGAATATTTCAGAGACCTGACTAGAAACTGTCTTTGCCTTTCTGAGGAAGTCTAGAGCAGCTAAGAGCCCAGTCCATGCCTAGTGACAAAATTAAGGAGGGGTAGGGATGGTCAAAAACCAATAGTGGGGCGCCTGGGTGGCTGTTGGTTAAGCGACTGCCTTCGGCTCAGGTCATGATCCTGGAGTCCCTGGATCGAGTCCTGCATCGGGCTCCCTGCTCAGCAGGGAGTCTGCTTCTCCCTCTGACCCTCCCCCCTCTCATGTGCTCTCTCTCATTCTCTCTCAAATAAATAAATAAAATCTTAAAAAAAAAAAAAAAACAATAGTGATCCCTAAAACCATAGTGAGGACAGGATAACAGAAAGTGTCAATTAATGCCACTAATTAATGAGATTAATGCCACTTTAAATTTGTGCCACCATTGTAGGACTGTGAATGAGACTACAGGGCTAGCTTAAGTATATCTCATGTGTACCCAGAGATTCTCTCACCTGCAAAAAAATAAATATATATGTATAGAGCATCTGTGGGGCTGTAATAGGGAAGGATGTGGCCAGATAAGAAAAACTAGGCAATGGGCGCACCTGGGTGGAGCAGTTGGTTAAGTGGCCAATTCTTGGTTCGGCTCAGGTCATGATCTCAGGGTCATGAAATTGAGCCCTGTGCCAGGCTCCATGCTCAGCGGGGAGTCTGATTAAGTTTCTTTCTCCATCTCCCTCTTCCCCTCTCCCCACCTGCTCATGCATGCACTCTCTCAAATAAAAACATAAATCTTAAAAAAAAAAGAAAGGAAGGAAGGAAGAAAAAGAGAAAGAAAGAAAGAAAGAAAGAAAGAAAGAAAGAAAGAAAGAAAGAAGAAAGAGAAAGAAAGAAAGAAAGAAAGAAAGAAAGAAAGAAAGAAAGAAAGAAAGAAAGAAAGAAAGAAAGAAAGAAAGAAAGAAAGAAAGAAAGAAAAAAAAGATAGCAATGGACTTTGGTTCCAAGGGTCTGAGTTTCAGATAGCCTTGTCTCAGGTAAGGTCATAAAAGGGTTGCCTTAGGCAAGTAGCAATGTATACCTATCTAAGGGAACCCTACACTTGGGGGTTCCGCAAAGGAATATCTCATGTTATTACAAACAGAGTTGCCCAGAAGTGACATTCCCAAAGACTTTATTATTTTCATATAAGCCATTATCACAAGCAGAAGAGCTTCAAAAGGCATAATGTAGGAACTATTTAAATGGCAATAGATATAAATTATTTCTTTCATTGCAAAAAAACTACCCAATCTATATGATTGGTAGGCAATATCTTTAATATGCTCATTTCAGCGGCATCTGTGGAAGGGAGACAATGAAGCACTAAGTGGATAGTGTATTATTCCCGGGAGTCAGGCAGGCACTTAAAGATGCACATTAAAAAATTTCATGTCCTATTTGGACAGAAATATGGGTCTTCTAGGATTATAGTGGATTATCATAAACTCATTAGGTGGTGTCTCCAACAGAATCATGTGCTACACTACCATAATTAGATTTCTACATCATCTACGAAACACAAAAATAAAACTTGGAACACTCGATTTATAGGAAAAGTCGTTTTAGCATCCTATGGGGAAGTCCCTGAGGCCACTCCAAATGATAAGCCACTTAAAAGATTTGCCTACTATTATCATGTAGACACAAAGCCCATAAACTATAACACTAACTCAATGTTTCTCCAAAGGCTTGAAGGACTTCGTAAATTGTCCTAAAATCACAACTTACTACTGAAGGTGAATGTGGTTACTGTTCTAAGTATAACGAACCATATATCATTTTTCCAATATCCCAGTTACTTACATTAGGAGTTTTTGGTTAGGATAAAGGTCAGTGTTTTGTGTTCTCAGCAAGAGGACTGTAGCTGATTCCAGAGAAGTGGAGAAATGTACTTTGTTATTGGTGTGATTTATTTTGGGCACCTTGATTTTTAGACTTCATTCCAAAATGGACTCATCTTGTCATTTAATAACATCCTAATGTTCAAGCTGCTCAGCCAATTCTGAGAAAGAACTAATCCATTTCAGCATCAGCAGCAAGATGGACACTCTGGTAGAGCAGGTGTGCTCTCTTCTCTGTAATTACTTTCAGCTCTTGCTTTGCCCTTTACTGTCTGTTTGAAATTTAACCTTAATGTAATCAGAATGGCATTTACCCAGGGATCAGCTCCAGATTGTGTGAAACTCACAAAAATAAAGGTTATGACAAAGTAAGTCTACTAATTGCTTTCTGTGACTAGAATTGACTAACGGTTATCTTTGAGTAGAAGAAGTTAAGAATACCACATATTTTTCTTGAGGTAGGAGAAATTAATCATTCCTCTTCTCATTTTGCCCCTTGCCACCAACCACCACGTTAGCCTATACTATGCCCTCAGGGTAACAATCCAGAGTTCTGACACAGAGAGCATAGAGAATGGCCCATTCTATTGAAACATAAATGGTGTAACTGTGAGACGCTAGCCAGATAGTCAGAGGTAGAGACCAAGTTGGCATCTGGAAAGGCAGGGCTGGAGCATGGGAGAACATTAAGGATGGAGTGTCCAAACACAGCAAACATGGAATCAAGAAGTGTTCCAGATCTTCCATACTCTGCTGCCAGACCCCAGCCTTAGATGAGAACTAAATGCTCATTTTCTTTCTAACAATAATAGCTAGATTTGCTTACTCGAGTACTTTACAAATGTTGCAGGATAAAGAAAATTTTACTATTTAAATAGCTCCTGAATTGCTCCTAAAAGAATTTTCTCTGGAAGAATCTTACTAAGAAATTAGGGGGGAAAGCTCCTATTAAGGCTCTGTTTTTGAGTGTCTTCTAGACTTCAGAGGAGAGAGAAAGCTTCCCTATATAATCCACCTGGAAATTTGACTCCTGCAAGTGAACAGCAGACAGAAGAGATGAGAGAGAGGGAGGAGTAGCAGCGTGGAGAGAGACTCAAAACTTGGAGAATGTGAAATTCAGCAGAGAAACAGTGTGGAGAGGGTGTTGCTGACTATTCCCTCCAGGTTGCTGAAATTGCTGATATAATCTCCCCTCCACTGCACTCTTCTCCCTACCAATTTTCCACAAAAATCATTGAATGATTTTTTGATGGTGGCTTTTTAATTGTATTTTAATTTTTTTTTAAGTTTTTCTGAGGAAGCCACAGAAAGAAGAGAGGTCCTTTAGAGTGAGTATAGCATACATAAAAGCTGCTAAGGAGCACACAGAAGAGGGGAACCAAGTGACCTAAGAATGTAAAATCTGAGGGGGTAAAGAGATTCAGAGAAAGCCTTCAGACTTTTGAATATCGTAAAGCCAGCAAAGGTTTAAACCAATTTGCCCTAGAACTGGAGGGGTAGATAGGCCTCAGGTTGACATCTTGGTAATGAAACCATTTCATTCAGTCCTCATAATATCTGTATGAGAAAGATTCTGTTGTTAGCTGCATTCTCTAGATGAGGAAATTCAGACCCAGAATCATCCCCAATGTCACATATCTAGTAAACTGCAGAGCAGGATTACAATACTAACTCTAACTACTGTGGCCATAATCAACCAGTATATTACAAACTTTTTGTTTCATATTTTGAGACTGAATCTTCACACAGCCAAATCCTGCCCATCTCTTTAGATTCATTTTCCTCCCCCAAACTACACTGATGCCTCCCACTCTGAATTCCACATCCCTCATTGACTGTTTAAAGTTCTTTCCCTTCAGCATATAAACATAATCAGATCTTGCCCATTTTTATAACAAGGCAACTTCTTCAACTGTTTTCGAATTCCTTCTGCTTTCTATCAATTGTCTTGAGATGCTGCCTGTACTTTCCATCCTCTTTTCTATTCACTTTTCTGCCTATTGTCTCCACCTTGCTAAGTGATAGCCTCCTAATCCCAACACTCAACAGTCACCATCAGACTTCACCTCATAAACTGTTTCCTCTGTAGCATCTGACACTGTTCACAAAGCCCCATCTCCACCTCTGTGGCATCTTAGACTTGGCTTCATACTTGCATCTTGCCCCTCCATCTATTTCCTTCCTATATTCCTCTTTTTTCAGCCATTCCTAAAATGCTTATGTGCCCAGAGGTTTCTGCTGTTCTTAATTTCTACCTGGGTATTTACCCCAGAGTCAGTAGCTAAGCTTCATATGGTCCTAAGGGAGCCTCCTGGAATGAATACAAATTATTTTGCATATGTACATTTTTTTATAGGCAAAGGATTCTCTCATTCAATATTATTTATTTCCATAAATATTTGCAGAGGATCTGTATTGTGTTAGGCACTCTTCTAGGTTCTCAAAATAAGGGAATTTTAAAAAGCAGGAAAGAATATCCAATAGAAAAAAGGCAATCTCTTCAACAAATGGTGCTGGGAAAATTGGACAGCCACATACAGAAGAATGAAACTAGACCACTCTCTTACACCCTACACAAAGATAAACTCAAAATGGATGAAAGACCTCAGTGTAAGACAGGAATCCATCAAAATCCTAGAGGAGAACATAGGCAGTAACCTCTTCGACATCGGCCACAGCAACTTCTTTTAAGACACGTCTCTAAAGGCAAGGGAAACAAAAGCAAAAATGAACTTTTGGGACTTCATCAAAATAAAAAGCTTCTGCACAGCAAAGGAAACAATAAACATAACTAAAAGGCAACCTTCAGAATGGGAGAAGATATTTGCAAATGATATATCTGATAAAGGGTTAGTATTTGAAATATATAAAGAACTTATAAAACTCAGCGTCCAAAAAAGAAATAATCAGTTAAAAAAAAAAACTGGCAGAAGACAGGAATACACATTTTTCCAAAAGAGATACAGAGATGGCTAACAGACACAGGAAAAGATGCTCAACATCACTCATCAGGGAAATACAAATCTAAACCACAATGAGATACCACCTTACACCAGTTAGAATGGCAAAAATTAACAAGACAGGAAACATTTGCACTACTAGGTATTTACCTGAAAGCTGCAATAATACTGATTCGAAGGGATACATGCACGCTGAAGTTTATAGCAGCATTATCAATAATAGCCGAAGTATGGAAAGAGTCCAAATGTCCATTGACTGATGAAAGGATAAAGATGTTTTGGTGTATATATATATATAAATATATGTATATATATGCAATGGAATATTACTTAACCATAAAAAAGAATGAAATCTTGCTATTTGCAACAATGTGGATGGAGCTAAAGAGTACTATGTTAAGTGATATAAGTCAACCAGGAAAAGACAAATATCATGTGATTTCACTCATATGTGGAATTTAAGAAACAAAACAGGTGAACATGGCAGGGGCAAAGAGATAGGGACAAACCAGAAAACAGACTGTGAACCATAAAGAAGAAACTGAGGATTACTGGAGGGGAGTGAGTTGAGGTGGGTTAAATGGGTGATGGATATTAAGGAGGGCACTTGTGATGAGCACTGGGTGTTGTATGTAAGTGATGAATCACTAAATTCTATACCTGAAACTAATATTACACTGAAATTTAAATAAAAACTTGGAAAAAGAAAATTTAAAAAACCTACAAAGATCCTTGTGAACTTATATTAGGCAAAAAGCTATGAACACAATAAATAAGTAAATTATACAATATATGAAAAATGATAAGGGCTACATAAAAAGTAGGACAAGGTAAAGGGGATCACAAAGACCCAGGGGAGTGGGAAGGCAGCTGGTAAGCCTAAAATGGTAGTTAGAGTAGATTTCATTGAGAAGGTAATGGTTATTCAAAGACTTGAAAGACATGAGGATTTAGTCATGTATATAATAAGTAAAGCAGAAGGAACAGCAAGTGCAAAGGTCCTAAGGCACGAACATGCTTGAAGTGCTCAAGGAACAACAGGGGAACAAGGGGAGCATAGTAAGGAGATGAGCTCAAAAAGATGATGGTGACCCAGGTAATGCAGGGATTTTTAGATTATTGTAAGTACTTTTACTCTGAGTGAAATAAACAGCCATCGTAGCATTTTGAGCTTAGAAGTTATGCTATGTGGCTTGTGTAGAAGAAGCCCTCTGGCTGGTATATTCAGTATGGATGTAAAGTTGCAGGAGTAGAAGTAGGAGACCAATCAGGAGGCTATGGCAGTTATCTGCACAAGAGGCGGTAGTGGTTTACACAGGATGCAAATGCTGATGTGCAAGAAGTGGTCAGTTCCTATTTATGTTTGGAAGTTATACCCAACAGTATTTCCAAACAGACTGGATATAGGATATGAGAGACAAAAAAGAGTTAAGTACAACTCAAGATTGTTGACCTTAGCATCTTGAAAAATGGAGCTGCCATCACCCGAGATGAGGAACTGTGGGTAGACAATGTTGAGGGGAGACAGATGGTTGGAAGATCCATTTGGGACCTGGAGAGCTTGAGGTGTCTACTACACAACTAGGTGGAAATATTAAGCAAGCAGTTGAATATACAAGTCTGGAATTCAGAAGAACAGTCTAGACAGAAGTTATAAATTTAGGAGTCATTAGCATACACCCAGTATTTAAAGTTATGTAACAGGATGATATGACTAAGAAAATGAGTTTTGATGGGAAATAGAAAAGGACCAAAAACTGAGACCTAGGGCAATCAAATATTAAGAGGTAAGATACCAGCAAAGACAATTTAGAAGGAGGAACCAGCAATGGAGGAGAAAAACAAAGAAGGATGCCGGAAGCCAAAGGAAGTAACAAAGAGGAGGGAGTCATCAGCTATGTCAAGTGCTACAGAAAGGGACAGTGAGAGCTGAAGTGGGTTTCATGGAGGTTCCTGGTCACTTTGACAAGGGCAATTTTGGTGGAGATGAAGACCTGACTGGAGGAGGATTAAGAATGAACAGAAGAAGTGAAATTGGAATTTTGCAGCAAAGAGGAGCAAAATGACGGTGAGAGAGAAGGTTATTTTTTTAATGGAGAACTATTTTAGTTTGTGTGTTGATGAGAATGGTTGAACAGAGAGTGGAAAATTGATGAGAAAGAGAGAGGAGATTGCTGAAGTGATGTCCTTGAGTAGCAAGAGGACAGAGGATCTAGTGCATACATATTTGGAATGTCTGGCTTTCAATATGAATGTGGAGACTTTATGGCAATGGACAAGAAAGCAGAGTATGTGTATAGATTCTGATGGGGGGATAGAGGTGATGGAGGGGTTCTGTCGATGTTTTCAGATAAATTATCCAATTATCTAATTTTCTCAGTGAAATAGATAGCAAATTCATCTCCTGAGAATAAAGAAGGGATTAGGGGTTATTTGGGGAAGGGGGGGTTGAGGAAATGAAAAAAGATAGAAAATAGCCATCTAGTACAATAAGAGATAAGGATATCTTATCTGATTGCCAGGTAGCACTTGAAAGACCCACCTGAAATCCAAGGTCAAGAAAATAAAAATGAGGCCAGGCAGTGTGGTTGTGTGTTGTTGTTGTTTATAATCACAATCTGTTGCACAGGCACTAAAAGTAGGCAAAGGATTGGCCTTAATCAGGATTACTGTTTGTCAAGTAAGTACAATGAAGCAAGAGGGAGCAAGAAAGTGATTAGAATGATTGACCATAAATTTAAGGTGCATAAGCAGGGATCCTGAGTATTGAAGGAGTAAGGGATAGTGAAAAAATGGTGAAATACTATTTAATGAAAAAGATGTAAACACAGGATTGTAGGTCCTGGGAGGCACAGACACATCTTTGGAGTTAGTACACTAGAGGGAATGAGTTATAAAAGTAGTGGTCAGAGAGTAGGATGGATGAAATTAGGGTTTTGGAGGAGTAAGATGTATTGATAAGGACAATATCTAGGGTATGATCATGAGAGTGATCAGGTTGTCAAAGAATTTAAAACCTGCAAAATGGTGACGATCCAGGTCTCTACATCTTTTCTGCATTTACTACCCTGGCTCTAAATAGTTCATGTTTTGAGATGATGTCCTGTCTATGCATCCAGCTGAGATACTCTCTACCTGTTGGCTATCTCCATTGGGATGCAGAACAAGTACTTCAAACATATGCTCTGGGGTTAACTCATTGTTTTACCCTTTCCCTGTCCCCTCCAGAGAATGTGTCGTTCATCCATTCCAGCTAAGGCAGAAATCAAGACTTAACTGGACCTCCTTCCCTAACCAGCAACATTAAAATAATTCACAATCTACATTTAAACTGTCTTCTTTCTCCAGTCCCACTATCACAGGTTGAAATTTATACTGTCAAAATTTCAAAACTGGATTACTGAAGCAGCTTCCCAGCCTCTTTGCTATGGTTTTGTCCATTTTCAAAGCCATTAGCCACATTCCTTCTGGAGTACTATTTCCTAAATGCAAACCTGCTTGAAGTGTCTCAGTGGAGACTTTATATTGCCTTCAGGATGAAATCCATACTCCTTAGCAAAACTAGGCAGCTGCTTATCTCATGCCTGCCTGCCTCCAACCTCACATTTCACTGCTTCCCAGCACACCACGTTCACCTAGTGCTCCAGCCACACAGAATTACAGCCAACTCCTCAACTCTTTACCTTTGCAAATGTGTTTCTGTTTCCAGGAATGCTCTTCCCCATTCCACCACCTTCTTCAACTAGCTAATTATTACTCTTTCTTTGCAGTTTACTCAATCTTGCCCCCTTCCAAAAAGCTTTCTCAGGGTTTCTTAGCCAGGTTTAGGATTTCTACCTATGTGTTCCCAAAGCATCTTGTTGCTATCTACATCAAGATATTTTCCATATTGTAAATTAGTCATTTTTAATTTGTCTGCTTCTCTTCTGAATCTGAGCTCACTGAGGGCAGAACATTGGGGGTTTTTTGGGGTTTTGGGGGGTTGTTTTTTTTTTTAGTTAAACTTCCTGTAGTTCTTAACACAATGTCTGCGTACATCATAGGTAAACAATATGGGCTTTCTGAATGAATGATTGGCTCCTAATTGAATCCAACCATTATGGTGGTTTAAATATCTGTTCAAATCCTGAGATCCCAGTTGCATGAAAATTCTCAAGGACAGTACTTTTCTTCTCCCAAAGTATATAGAAAAACATTGGCAACACAAAACAAGCACTTGGTGAACACTGAACTGTGTGAGTCCTGCAGTTTTACCCTTGGTGATATAGCAGGGTCAGGACTTGCAAAATCCCCACTCAGGCCAGCTGACCTCAGGTGTATTAGAACAGAAAACAAGTGAGTGCAGTGGGCTAATATAGCACAGATAAGGTACAGTACATTGGTTCCATTCAGTTACAGCAAATATTTGCCTCTAGACTCAGTAGCTACCAGTCTGGCAACTGGACAAAATTGCTTTACTACATCAAATTTAGGTGAAACTAATAAATGAGGGTATTTGATGACTGTGATCAATAACAAAGATCCCCAAAAAGAAATCTTCTATCTTTTTTCCAAATAAATTGCATGAGGTTATCATCATAATGTGACAAATTTGGCAAAAGACTCCTAAGAAGGAAAACTGCCAAACAAAAGGAAATAATCATTTTGATGTTAAACAAAGAATCACATCCTCTGACTTTTTGTAGTTGCTGAATTGCAGTAAGGCATGTTTACTTACTTAGCCAAAGGTTCTCCTCTTTCCATTGCTCCTTCTTCCAAGCCAGTTCTCAAGTGGAGCTTCAGCAGCTGCCAACATCAGCTCAGCTGACCTCTAGCACCAGCTCCCCTGTTTCTGTCTTTCTTCTGATCAAGAAGTACAGCAGGATTCCAGTGGAAGGACCAGTGTAGGTTTTAAAAATCTGGGATATTCCCCCTAGATTAACAAATGGGATATATCATCAGAAACAAGAGAATGACTGAGTAATCAAATTGCAGGTTTTTAAGGCTTATTACTGTAGTTTTGTTTTACTTCACTCACCATCACTGAATTTCAGGTTAGCACGTGCCTGATGGGTTACTGTGCTAAGCGGGCACCAGGATACGTAGCAGAACACATTGAAAAAGAAGTGTGGCAAGGAAAAGTGTATGGCTGAGAGGCAGACAGATCTGCACTTGAATCTCAATTCTGCTTCCAGCCCCAATTATTGTGGGTCAGTTACTCAGCCTCCTTGAGCCTGAATTTTTCACCTGTAGACTGGAGAAGAGTAACTAAGATCACACACATCATGTGCCTAATAAAGGCTTGACATAGTTGGCAATTAATAAATGATACCTGTTCTCCCAAAGAGTTTACTATCCACCCGAGAGACAGAAATTTACATAACTTACCATAATAAAATGTTATTAAATACTATTAGGCAAACCCTATGAGAGTAGAGACAAGGGAATAATTAATCCTGCTGGATGAGGTAGTAGGGAAGACCTTATAACCAGGCCTCCAGATTTTGCTGTTTGACACTAACATTGACCAATTCACCTCCATAACCATCGAACGTGCTCTGGTAGCCCTGCTGTAAAAGGAAATAAATCAATCTTCTCTTCACCTCACACCACTCCCTCCAGCTTCTTGCTCATTTCTCTTAGATGATCTCATCTAGTCCCTTGACTTTAAATACAATTTATTCCCTGATGACTCCCAAATTTATATCTTCAGCTCCATTCTCCCTCTTGAGCATCAAACTTGGACGTTCAACTGCTGATTCAACATGAACACATCGGTAGCCTTCCCAAACTTAATGGGTCTAACACAATTACTAATTCTGCCAAGCCTCCCCACAAAACAAAACAAAACAAACAAAACAAAACAAAAATACTTGCTCCTTATTTATTGTTACCTGTCTTGTAAATGTTGATACCACAGTCATCTTTGATTGCCCTTGTTCCTTCACCCCATTTCTAATCCATCAAATCCCTGGACTCTACCTCCTTGTTCCTTTCCCTCTATCTTTACTGCAACCACCCCCACCATCCCTCTCACCTAGACCCTGCGTAGCCTCCTAACCCACCTTACAGCTGCCAATTCAGGTTCACTGCTCTGTCCACAACGTTCCACTAGTCTCCCCACTTGAGTGAGAGTGCATGTTATTCTGAACCTCTTTTCTCCTAGATCCATGAGAAGTTCAAAAACAATTGAGAATATTTCTATCTCTAACAAATAAGAGGGGTAGGAGAAATTAAGAAACAATCTAAAGCAGTCATTTCTACAAACACATGTTCAAAGTAAATCAGGAATGCAGAGCCCTTTCTAAGTTATGCACCTGTCAGGAGGCACCAAAGGCTGTCCCTAGACGTATCTTTTCAAGGAAAGGTCCAGTCAGCAGAAGCTGGGAGGCCGGACCCTCCACCGACATAGGAGAAGATTGGTAAAGGGGCTGACACTCCTGCTTTCCTCCTCTAATTGCCCAGGTACTGAGAGTTTTTAAGTCTAGTACCTCATTTGTGGTCTCATGAATTCTAGAAAACAAAATCCCTCCTATAGAGTCACCTGGTGTTATTTCTGCATTGAAATCTGAGACTGGAAGGCACAGATTCCATGCCTGCAAATCTGTTTCTCAAGGCTTTCTCTAATCATTAGTGCAAAGGTGCCACCCTACCTGTAGGCCCTGTGTCCTCTGGGTGGTTACTGTCACTGGTGAAAGAGCACTGTCCTTCCTAACAGAGCCAGCACGTGACCCTGTGTCATTACTGATGATTCATACAACCAACCTGACGTATGTTCGCGCTCCATCTCTTTGCCTCCTGTACCAGCTAGCTGATCATTTTCATACTGAAAACTGAAGCAATAGAGAAGGAATAGATGAATCTGCCTCCTTTGTCCCATTCCCCCAAGTCTGGTGAGCACCCCCCACCACCATCACCAGCTTGGATCCTGGGACAGCAGCAGCGAAGAAGCCAGGCAAGGCTCCAGTTTGTAACATCAGTGTTACCATCACTTTAAAATGGACAAGGCAAAAGTTGCTTTATTAAAATTGACAACCCTCAAATAAAGCAAACACAACTCAAGGTGACACTGTCAAGGAAATCTTGCCTCTTCTAGGAGTGTTTTTTTCAACACTCCATGCATGTTAGAAATCACCTGGGGAGCTATTTTTATAAATGTACTGAGAGGTTATGATTTAATTGGTCTGAGGTAGGATGGTTCTAATGAGCTGCCCCAGTAAAAAACCACCACCCTAAGTGGGTAAGTAGAAGCTTCCAGATTCTTAAAGACCCAAGGAGGGCTCCCAGGATTGCAGTGGTGACCTTTGTAACTGAGAGTACACAAATAAAGAACAAGAAAGTAAATGAAGAAACACAGCTCAATTAGCTCTGAAAACCAGTGAGGTGAGGAAGATTCATTCTACAGTTAGAAAGTCTTCATCACAATTGTGTCATGTGTTATTTTTGGTAAGTGAAATGGAGTAAAAATGCTCTGTTGTTAGTAGCTTCAATTGGGTTTTGTTTCTTCTGATACTTCTGGTAACTTCACTTTGACTATGTGAATTTACCTTTTCCAAAATGACTTTGATAGGAGTAAAACTCCCTGAGTTATTTCTTTGCCTGAAGCCCTGCTTTGCTGTAGTTAAGGTAGGGGGAACATCCTTTTAAATGAATTTCAAGGCTATGTCAAAAGCAGTTTAAAAGTTAGAAAAATATTGTCATAAAATTGCTAAAGTCAATAATTTTTTTAAATTTAACAGTAGCACATTGGACAGTTAAAAGTACAGCTCAGTCTATATTGTGTGGTTCTTTGCAAGCTATTGGCTTTCTACCTAATCCTCTCAGACTGCTTCTGGAGGGGCTGTGCCATTTTGGTTTTGGCAATATGGCTATAACAATTCCCTCAGGTGCACTGCTAAGATGTGAAGTTTGGTTGCCCACACACACTCTTGGGTCTTTATGATCACCCACTCACACACAAACCCACTGGCCTGTCCACTTAGAGACAGATGCCATTGCCCAGCAGGGGCAGTCCCTGAGTTCTCCGCAGTGGGGAGGGATTTGTATGGAGCCACTCACATTCAGCCATCTCATCCGTCTCAGAACTGTGGAAATAAATGAGCACCAACCAATGAGGAAGGCAAAGACTATTTTATTCTGAACTTGCTACAGCAAGGGAGTCAGCCATTATCACTTGGGTTTTGGTATAGAGTCAAAGACAGGCAGAGGAGTTGGAAATTCTAAGGTGAAAAAGGTAAGGCCTCAAGCATGCCCTGATTGGAGGCTGTTGGCACAAGGAAGCTGCAGGTGGGCTAACTAGAAGTGCTTGGTTAGGAATACATATTTGGCTTTCTCTTGCTGGTCATAAACTGGATATGGGAGCAAAAAAAAAAAAAATAGGGATGGTGTCAGTTATGTTTTTTAATTATTTTTTTAAGATTTTATTTATTTATTTATTTATTTATTTATTTATTTATTTATTTATTTATTTATTTAAGAGTGAGAACACAAGCAGGGGAGAGGGGCAGAGGGAGAAGGAGACTCCCCACTGAGCAGGGAGCCCAATTGGGCTCGGTCCCAGGACCCTGAGATCATGACCTGAGCCAAAGGCAGATGCTTAACTGACTGAGCCACCCAGGTGCCCCAAGAAGGTGTCAGTTATTAATCAGGTTCTGGCTATTTGGGGCCAACTGTTACAGAACTTATTATTCAGCTTCTTGAATTGGCACTAAAGATAGAAATCTGGCTTCCTCCAAGCCTGAGTTATAGCAGGCTGTCTTCCTGGATTGTTTATTGTAGATAAGGGGTTGGTTTCCCAGGCAGGTCACTGCAGGTGGTGGATCAAAGTTCTATCTTTATATATGGTCTGGCCATGGTCCCTTTATATATTCAGTCTCTCAGAACCAACAGAATATGGGTTATGGTGACTACTCAGTCCTCTGCTTTCCAATCTGTTCCACCTCCTGACTGCACTGATTAGCCACAAATACACTGATACTTTTACTCACTAAATATAACTTATATTTATAATGCAGAACAACTAGGGAATGGTCCAGGAGGATACTATTAGCTACTTCTTTCATTATGATCTCATATTTCTGGGTAATCCTAAGCTTTGGGTTAAAAGAAAAAGGCTTAAAAGTAGAAGCTGTCCTATGACAGACCTTTCTTTATTTGGTTTGTGCCGGGCACTGTGAGAGCTGAATACATGTTTAATAAGTACTGAGAAATAAGAAGGAAGTAGCTATGGCAAAATCAAGGTGCCTGAGCAGTATATTCCTGATTTCTCTGGATGCAAATCAGAGAGTACTCTGGCAGCTCTTCATCAAGAGCTCTGCATGGTCCCACTCTGCATTCTCTCTCTCTCTCTCTCTCTGGCTTCTGGAAGTGCCACTTACCTGTTGATGATGAGGCCCGAGCAACAATCAGCAGCCCGGGCCCCATCAAGAGGAGTATCTCACACCATATGCCTTGATTGCCCCTATAGTTCAGCTCAAGAAGTCTGTAGCTGAAAAGAACACATAGGCCAATACATAATTAAGAGGTAAATTTCTGTCCAATTTCTTTCTTTCTTTTTTTTTTAGAATATATGAATGTGGTAACAAATATCATGCCAATTAGTTTGAGGCAAATAAGAGTGTTTATTATGCTGAGATTTAGATTATCGTTGTACTTGAGATCAATTTAACCAGAGAATGGTAACCACCAACAGTACTGAATTCAAGGATGAACACTTAAATACATTCTTTCGAGGAATTTGCACAATCATGTGATCTAGACATTATTCCCATTTTGTACATAAGAAGATTTTGAGCCCCAGAAAGATCCAAGGGAACACAGCAAACAAATTGCACAGCTTTTATTTCACATACCAGGAATCCTTGCTCCCAGTTACTCATGCTATATTAGTTTTCCAAAGAAATGTGATCAATAGGGAATCAGGAAAGCCGGGTGTGTAATTCAGTCTGAATCTAAAGGCCCAAGATCCAGGAGCATCAATGTCTGAGGCAGAAGAAGATGAATGTCCCAGCTCAAACAGAGAACAAATTTGCCCTTCCTCTGCCTTTTTGTTTCCATCAAGCCCTCAGTGGAGTGCTGATGCGTACTGACAAAGTGAGAGTGATCTTTACCCAGCTCATTAATTCAAATACTATCTGTTCTAGAAACACCCTCACAAACACACCCAGAAGTAATGTTTTACCAGCTCTCTGGATATCCCGCAGCCTGTTCACATTAAAACATAAAATTAACCATCACACATGCCCTGTGAGAGCAGATATTTAAAGATGTTCCTAGGTCATTTTCACAGAATAACCAGGGGCACATGTCCTAGAGACAGCTTCACCCCTCAGAGGCCAGGGTTTGGGGCACCCAGGAAACCTTTCTCATGCCATGTAACAAACCATCCTTGGTTCCCCCCAAATGATAACACAAATTGCATTGTAATAATACCAGCATATATGATAAATTCCTTCTACACAAGCTCACAGATCACATCCTGCCTCAGGGAGCAAAGTCTTGGTACGTTCATCAAAGCTGCTGCCAAAACTGTTACTTAGGATTCAACGGTGCCACATTCTCCATGTTCATTTCAACTTTATGGCTAATATAAAATCACTTCTTGCTTTTGTTATTTTCAGTTCTCCTCCAGCCATCTTATCAGGTTGATGTTTATATATGTTTATGATGTTATCAGTATGAGATAGGGCATTTTTATTTTCTTAGCAGTTGACAGAAGCATTTATCATCAGGAGAAGAGATCCACCAATGTTCAGAAAATCATCTGAAACTCCTGGGTGAGTAGAAGCTAAGACCTTGGAGGGACTAAATGTAAGAATTTGCCCGCCAGAGGCAAGGAAGGGAAATTGTTTTCACTGGAGAGGGAAGAAGGAACTAGACAAAGACAGGAAAAGAGATAACACCCACAAGTTGTTTATAACTCCTTGTAACTTTCCTATAACACTTCAAGCCTAAACTAATAAAATTCTTATTGTGATTAGAACTTTTGTGGACACTGATGAAGGGTATTTTCGGTTTAGGTCTATGGGAGGAAGAACCAAGATAGTGAGCCAGACCTAGTTGTATGAACCTTGTCTTTTTAACCATGTATTCTGATGCTGTGACATCTGGTGTCTTACCGACCCTCCCAGAACTGGCCAATTTCTAGAGACAGGAAACCACTCTCCTAGGAGCAAACTTTTCAAATGCAAACCAAGTAACGCAGAGCCCACACCTCCAACCACCTCCTTTATTGGCCTCATCCTCTGGGCCACGATCCACCTGCTCTAATCACCTCAGACAATGAGGGACAGCTCCCATGCCCTAGAGCCTGATGAAATTGTTTGATGTGCCAATCCCAAGCCTGCTTACCCTGCCCTGCCTGTTCCTTCCTGCAGAAACCACAGTAAAGCCTCTTGCTCCCATTTCCCCTGCTTTCTCTGCTTCAGGCTGACTCTCACGTTTCCCTGGGAGGCCCCACAAGGCTTGGCATGACTCCTCCTCTTGGGTACTGTGAGTAACTAGTTTTACAAAGGAAATTATCTCCTGATCTGTTGACCTCACTGTACCTCAACTTTTCTATTAATATGCTATGGGTTTGTTTTTGTTTTTTAAGATTTTATTCATTTATTTGAGAGAGAGAAAGTGAGAGAGAGAGAGAGCACAAGACGGGGGAAGGTCAGAGGGAGAGGCAGACTTTCCGCTGAGCAGGGAGCCCGATGTGGGGCTCAATCCCGCAACTCCAGGATCATGACCTGAGCCAAAGGCAGACGTTTAACCAACTGAGCCACCCCGGTGCCCCTAATATGCTATGTTTTAAAACACAAGTGGAAAAAGTCCAGAGGAAACCTGGTGAGAAGAGCTCAGAATTTTCAGACACTGAGCTGGGGCTGAGCCAAAATTACTTTAGTGTCTGAGAGACAGGAAGGCCTCCCTCCTGGATACACCTTTGCCTCATGCTCAGCATTACACACCTCCCTTCTCCTCTTACCTGGTAGGAATTAGCAATCCAATAAATCAACCCTTAACAGTTTTCTTTCATAACACCAGGGATTCTCATCTATATGTGAGAATTGCATAGTAGGAAGAGATCTGAAAGTACATATTTATTTTTAGCTCTGAACAAAAACAAGAATCTCCAAAGCGATGTCCCTGGTCAAGTTTGATCTGAACTGAGTGGTAAGTAAAGAATAAAACATTTTTCTCTTTAGGGAAATTTCTCTTTTTGGTAATAAGGACACACCTAACAAAATAAACATTATACATGACAGGAAGGGAAGAAACATGAAAAAGCAGTGTGAAAAAAATTCATCCTTTCAGAAGATCTCTTGACATCTAGCTAACCTAAGTGTTTAGGTTGTTAGAAATTCCCGTTAAGCACATCCTGAAGCTTTAAAAAAAATGTAAACACTAACATTTAAAATTATGTGTATGGCAAATCCAGAGCCCTAAAGTCACTTAGAATTATTGATAACTCAGAAGACAGGTGTATATGACAGAAATTATTTCTAATTTCTATTTAAAATAATCTATTAAAATTTAGAATAACTATAATTATGCAAAATCTGTTCCATTACAAAATAAGAATAAGCAATTCAAAGTCAGATATAAATTTTGGCCTACAAAAGACAGAACTGGCAGCCACTTTGGACTGTATATGGGGATGTAACATTCAACACACACACACACACACACACACACACATGCTCGATTTTTTTTTTATTTTAAAGGTGTGAGCAGATTCTTTGTGACCAATAAATTAAGCATGCATGAAAACAGTTTTGTGAAGAACTA